ACTACCCTTGGTCTTTATGTGTTCCTAGAAACTCTAAATCTGAAGCAAGTAGCAGAGGTGACTTCCACTCTGTTAAGTTTGAAACTGTAGCTGCCAGAGCCAAACCCACGGTGGTATAAACCACATTACAAAATTCACTTTAAAAATAAAATAAAAGCCTACAGTGACTAACGGAGGGGGGGGGGGGGAGGAAGAAAGAGAGAGTTGATTCTCCTCCTAACAGTGTAGGTGGGATGGGAAGAGAAAGACTTGCTGTTCCCCTCTGAACCTGGGCCCAGAGCAGGCCACCACCAGCCCCCTTCTCAGTCCTCATTGGAGGTGGGGCAAAGAGATCCTTATGGCTAGGCAGGGAGCAGAGGTGGAGGGGATGGGCAATGGGAGGAAGGAGCAGAGGGGATGAAGGCAGGGTTGGCCAGGGACGATCCTTTTCTTTTAGAGCCTCGAGCGGAAATATAATTTTGAAGGATTTTTGTAGTTTGTACAAACTCCTGGAGCTGCTTTTTAACCAGCCTGTTGATTTCTTGGTTTTGTGCATCCCTTCCCTTTGCTCCCAGGCATGCAGCAGACTGTGGAGTCTATAAGAAGTTATTCTGAGGCAGCCGCCATGCTGATTCTATGGATTTCAATTTCCCCAAGTTTCCCTTTAGTCTACTTCTAACTAATATCCTCCTTTCCATAACAACCCCCCAGGGGATGCTCTTGCACCACCCACCTGTTATGGTATCACCAGAGACCCCGCTTATGAGCAGAAAACACTTTTTAATTTTGTCGGCTCCTTTCCGATCAAGTTCTTCTTCTTATAGCTTAAATTAAAAAGCCAAAGAGCTGAGTTTCAATTGACTATGTTCCGTTACACAGGGTGTCACACATTCCCCAGTGAGCGCTAGTCATTAAAGAACCTGTGCAAGTGAGTTTGGGCCCTCGCAGTTCTGGTGGAGCCCAGCCCGGTCTAATTTCTAGTTCATCGGATGGTAAGCTAAGTTCTGTGTTTGACGCTCATCCCCATGACTGGCAATGCAGGGCGCAGGCTGAGGTGTCCCAGTGCATCACCCCAGGAGGTGCCACCAAGTACAGCTGACGAGCAGAAGGAACTTGGAGCCAGCCAATCTGTAGGGAGCTGAAGGGCTAAGTCAGAGGAAGCTTGGTGAGACTGAGCATGTGAGGAGATGCTCCCTGAACAAGCAGGAGCCTGAAGAGCAATTTCTGAGTGCAGGGAGGTGTGGAGCAGGGGCTCTTGATAGCAGGGCTGACATATCGCTCACAGCTCAGGGGAGTGGAGGGTGTGGAAAACCAGACTATTCCAGTCAGGCCCCACAGGCTGATCCATAGGCTCCTGAGGACAGACATTGAATAGCATTTTTAAAATTCATAGATTCTAGGGTTGGAAGGGACCTCGAGAGGTCATCGAGATCAGTCCCCTGCCCTCATGGCAGGACCAAATACTGTCTAGACCATCCCTGATAGACATTTATCTAACCTACTCTTAAATATCTCCAGAGATGGTGATTCCACAACCTCCCTAGCAGTTTATCTAGTGTTTAACCACCCTGACAGGAACTTTTTCCTAATGTCCAACCTAAACCTCCCTTGCTGCAGTTTAAGCCCATTGCTTCTTGTTCTATCCTTAGAGGCTAAGATGAACAAGTTTTCTCCCTCCTCCTTATGACACCCTTTTAGATACCTGAAAACTGCTATCATGTCCCCTCTCAGTCTTCTCTTTTCCAAACTAAACAAACCCAATTCTTTCAGCCTTCCTTCATAGGTCATGTTCTCTAGACGTTTAATCATTGTTGTTGCTCTTCTCTGTACCCTCTCCAATTTCTCCACATCTTTCTTGAAATGCGGTGCCCAGAAATGGACACAATACTCCAGTTGAGGCCTAACCAACGCAGAGTAGAGCAGAAGAATGACTTCTCGTGTCTTGCTCACAACACACCTGTTAATGCATCCCAGAATCACGTTTGCTTTTTTTGCAACAGCATCACACTGTTGACTCATAAATGCACCTAAAATGCACCCAAGGGACTCAGGAAGCTGAGAATCAGTGATTTTTTTTTTAGCAAACAGAAATGATTTTTCATTGGGACTCTCATAAAATCCTAGAAGATGCAGGGCTGGAAGGCACCTCAAGGGGCTCAGAAAACATTGGCTACTGTTCTCCACATTCTGCACCGAGGTACTCAGGGCAGACCTACTTGGGCTGAGACCTTCTCCCTTCCACACCTCCTCAGTAGATGGTCACCCCCCAGGAGATATAGAAGAGGATCCTTAGAGGGCAGAGAACTCCACCTCCCTGGGGAGCCATTGCAGGGTCCAGCCAGCTGCTCCCTGCACCTGGCTTTGCTGCTGCCCGCCCCATGCAGTGTCAGAGTGAGGTGTGTGAGTGGCAGCCCAGCAGGGGAGTGGAGGCAGGGTGGTAAGGTAGGCCAGGGTGGCAGAGGGCTCCTATCATGGGGGAGGCTGCAGGACCCTGGCCCAGCGCCCCTCCCAGTGGCCACAGACTGTCCCGCCTTCCCACCAGATTACCCTCCCCAGAGATTGGGAATTAGCCAATCCCAGCGGCCAGCCACCTGGAGTATAGCTGGTTTCCTAGTGTAAGTGGGGGGTTGGTCCTATTATTGTGGGGAACTTTCCTGGCTTATGCACTAACCCGGTGAAATTGCTAGTGAACGGATCTAAGTCCTCACTCCAACTCCCTTTATCCAGAGGCCTGCCTGACCTTGAGAGCCCCCCTTCCCTCACTCTCCCTAGCTGCTCACCGCACTTGGCTCATGTGTTACTCATGGCACAGCGAGCATCTGCTCCCCAGTGCTGGGCCTGCAGCTCCCCACTGCAGCTCAGCCCTGGCTCACAGTCAGCGGGCTCCAGCTCCCGACTCTGGGCTGCTCTAGCTGCAGCTCCGCTCTGCCTTCTGGGCTGCTTCTCTGGTCCTCTGGTTCTGGCTACTGCTGCTCTGTCTCCAGCTCAGCTCAGGCGTCTGCACTCTCCTTAGCTCTGCCCTACTCTGGCTCAGGCAGCTCCAGCTCACAGGGAGGATGGGACCCTGGACTCCTAACTTGGTCATTGGTGTGCCTCGCCCCCCCCCCCCCCCACCCCCACCACACACACACGTTGAATCTCTCTATTGGCTCCCCATTTTCTACTGCATCAAATTCTACCTTCTTGTCCTCACCCTCTGATCAGCAGACACTTCCCCAGATTTTCATCCAGACGCTGGCCCCTCTGTGCTGCAACCACATCTGATTTGCAATACCATGTAGTCCCTGGGATTCTGGCTCCTCATGTCCTGGATCAGGCCACTGGTCAATCCTGTGCCCAGTATTTCAGCTCCTGCTGTCAGGGATGCATGGCAGTGTGGTCCCTGGGCCTGTCTATTTAGACAGTAAGCTCTTTGGGCCAGGAACTGTCTTGTACTATATGCTGGTACACAATGTAAGGTCCCAATCTCTGGTGAGGCCTCTAGGCACCACTGCAGTACAAGTAATGTAACACATCAGACCCTTAGACTATTGCTTCTATCTAGTGGACAGTAGCTGATGGGACCCTCCCACCCATGCTGCTGTTCACTTGTGCCTTGCTATGGCTGGGAGGGGGAGTCCGTATTACCTCCTTGCGGGCTAAAGTTGATGGGCTGAGATTTCATTACACTTCTTTTAGTTTGCACAGCTTCAGAAGTGATTATTGGCCATCAAATTCTCTTTTGAAATCCAGCCATGATTTCCGGCATGGTGACCCCATGGGGCACTGACTCCCCCAGGCTAACTAGATGCCCATTTCCCTCTCTTTGTTTCCCATTTACTTTCTTTCACTATGATTCAAGTGACCCCACTCCCTGAGTTATGAATCGGTCAAACTGGTAAGATTTTACCGAATGGTAAAAAAGGAAACGAAAACCTTGGAACTGCTCTAACTTTCATCTCTTTTATTCAAGTACTGCCAGGCCTTGAATCATTTTTGTTGGCTTCTCTGACTGTTTCCAGCCTCTCCAGGGGACCTGTTAGTAACTCCACAGAGGAGTTCACTGTTATTCAAAATCATCATATTTTTTCTCTCTCTTTTGAGCATCTTTACTTTTTAAACATCTACTGTGCACTGGGCAACCTGAACTCCATGAGGATGCCTAAATCTTTCCCCTAAGAAGCTACTATGAATTCAGAGGCTCTAAGTTTAGGTTCTTTTCCTCAAAGTGTATTTCTTTGCAGTGATCTAAGTTAATTGTAATCTCCCATTGTGTTGCCCAGCCACTGGCTGGATTACATCCTCCAGCCTCCCTCACAAGCATCCTGGGGTTTTCCTGATCTAAATAGCTTTGTGCCATTTGTACAGTGTGCCCCCATTCTGTCCACATCCAACTCATCGAGGATACATTCCCGTTTCCCGCTCTTTTATTAACTCTTTCATGTTATAAAACATAATGGGACCTTCAGAGAAGCTTCTGAACAGGTCTCATCTCTTGTGTGTTTCCTTCTTTTATCTTGAAATAGAAATCTCAGATATTAACATGCTGCTTTAGAATTAAATGTACATATGAACAATACACGGATCAAGGAACATGCTGAGTTTCTTACAGAATATGCTATAGTGTGCATGGAAACCCCAGGGAGGAGGGGTGAGTTGGGAGCCTGCCTATGCCCCATCAGGGTAAGGCGTGGGGAGGCAAGGGAAGAAGTGCAGGGCGGACTGGCCAAGGTGAGGAGGGTTTAAGATGTGGCATCTGAGGCACAGAGTGGAGCTCAGGTTGAAACAGAAAGTGTCTCTTTACAGTAAGCTCTTTGGGGCAAAGACCCTGCCTCCACATCCGTCTGTGAAGCACCTAGCGTGTTATTGGCACTATACACATAAGCAATAGGCTGTAAGCAGGGCTAAGTGGCATTGGCATTTCCAATGTGGGTCCTGTCCAGCACAGAGCCTTGCACAGACACTTCTTCCCACCCTCCACCTGGGGTTTTGGCTCCATCGCTTGTCATTCAGTCTCCAACCCTGGAACATATATTTTCTCCTTCTGTGGCTTTTGTCCAGTAACAAACAGTATTTTTGGCTGGACGTTGTACACAAAGCTGAGTTAAGAGTTTTTTTTGTTGACCTCCGTATTTGTCTGTGACCAGCATTAATGGGATCAGGCCAGTTCCGGCTGAGGGGGTTGTTATTTACCTGGAAGTAGACGCATTGGGGGCAGAACAGGATATTTTCTTCTGGGTGTTGCCCTAACTGGCAGTACCTGGAGTGTTTCATTGCTCACTGCTAAAGCTAAAGGTGAGGTACCTAGCCTAGGGTTCTATGGCCCTGACATCAGTGACCTCAGGTAAATCATGTCAGCTCTCAGTGCCTCCGTTTCACACACAGCCTTTGTCTGTTTTGGCTCCTGAGACTGTACGTTCTTCGGAGCCTGAGCTCTTACCATGTGTCTTTACAGAACCTAGCACAATAGTTGGGCCACTAGGTGCTACTGTGATGACGATAATACACAAGACTTGTGAGGTTTTTCCCAACCAGCTTCTACACATGAAATGATGACACACAATCACCAACCCAAATGACTTTTCGTTGTTTTGTTTAGAATGGATTTATGAGTCCAGAGCTAGGTCTGAATCACCAAGGGCTGAGCCAGGGATTGGTAAATGAGACTAGGGTGAATAAAGCCTGGTGTCAGAGCTGTTAGCTGAGGTTTTGCAGACTGAGTCCCAGAGCTCTCTCTTTATTTAGGGCTGCACTGTGTCCTCCTAGTTTGTGGCAATTAAAGGGACAGTTGCCAGCCTATAGCACTAAAACTGAAGTGTTTTCCCCACAACAGGAGCCTTGACCACTCTCTCTCTCAATCAGCCTGTGAGCCACTGCCCTCTCTTCCCCATGTGTCTCAAAATCAGACCAGGGCTGATACACTAGGTGGTGGGATTCACAGTGCAGGACTAGAACATGAACATGTTGTTTTGAAAACTATAAGTGGCTGCACCGGGCCCTGCAGATGAACTAAAAATATCTCTTCCACATTCTTCCTTAAGCAAAACATGCTCCTCCCAGCCTCAGAATCCAGGACTTTCAGCCTGTGCTGAGTTCTTTACTAGCAGGACATTGTTAGCCAGTTGTCCAAGGTGTAAAGGAAAATGGAGTCTATTGTTCATGTAAAAGGGAAAGACCCTGTACAGCGCATCCAAGCCTGGATCCCTCCACTCATGGAGCTGCTCAGCGGCCCTTGCAAGCGTTGCGTTGTGTCCTATGCTCCATACAAAAGCGTGAATCCCCCTAGCATTGGCCTTTGGGTGCAGAGTGCTGAGCTTTGGCGTGAAGGTCTCTGCTATACATGGCCACTCTTGGATAGATAAGCAATCAGTGCTACAATCACACCAACATAGACCCCTGTGCCGATGGTGATGGAGAGCGCAGCAAGGAAGAGGGCCCGCCGGGAGGCCGAACTTGCCATGTGGAAGTCCCCCTTGGAGACAGCCTTACTGGTCTGGAAAGAGAAGACAATGGGTAAGTGACTATTAACACCATCTAACCCCTCTGGGGAAGAGGAATGACTGTTCACTTACTCCAGGGAACAGCACTGACTCCCAACCTTTATCCTCCCCTTCCCTTTTGTGCAACTTTACTTTGACACGGCTTTCCTTTAAAAGGTAGGTTTGAGGGGTTAAGAAGTTTGAAGTACATGTATGCATCTGATATTCTTAAACTCCACTCTCATGGTACAGGGATAATTGCACCAGGTCTTCCCAGCACAGTACACCTCTACCCCGATATAACGCTGTCCTCGGGAGCCAAAAAAAATCTTACTGCGTTATAGGTGAAACCACGTTATATCAAACTTGCAGCCCCGCCCCCCCGGAGTGCTGCTTTACCATGTTATATCCGAATTTGTGTTATATCGGGTCGCGTTATATCGGGGTAGAGGTGTATTTCTTGGTGAGTAGCTACAGCTATCCATACATTTGTAGATGGATCAGTCTTTGAACTGGTTGTGTTTGGACTTTTGAATATGTCACTTCGTGCACTTGTGGTCTTGAAATGTAAGTGCAATGGAACTTCATGATGTCATGCCAGAAGGATTGTACATGCAGAGATACTACCTATATTGTACTAATAGTCTTCAGTATGTTGGCTAATCAGGAATATGTAAATTATTTCTGGTTACATTGTATTAAAAAAGGGATAAGGAAGAATACTGAAACAGTATAATGTCATTGCATATATTGGTGGGTCACCCTCCTCTGGTGTTCAGTTCTGGCCACATCATTTCAAAAAGGATATGGCAGTTATAGAAAGAGTTTGAAGGGGAGCAATGAAAATGATCAGAGGACTAGAAATACTTTCATGTGGTAGAGGTTAAAAGGGTCTTTCCAGGCCGCTGATCATTTCCATAAAATGAAAATATTCACAATATAGTGAATAGGATAAAGGGTGTAAATGGTGCACTGCCCTTTACACTTTCTCATAATCCCAGAGCACAGGGACATTTACTGAAATTAAAAGGCAACACATTTAAAAGTGATAAAAGGAAATACAGTTTTTCGCACAATGCATAAATAACCTGTGGAACTCACTGCCACATGATATTAGGACATAGTGGAGTCAACATGTATATGAACAACAAGAATAGTGCAGATACATTAGCTAGGATAAACCAATCATTGACTGATAAGAGTGAAGAAGAATATTCCCCCAGAGGCAGATTATTCCATAATTGATTGTTATGGGAATTTACATCTTAGCATCTGGTTCTGGGGACAAGCAGGGAAAAGGCAGCAGACAGCCTGGACCATGGATCTGTCAGTACCTGTATTCCTAGTCATTTTTTAATTGCTGTTACCTTTTCCTGTTTCTCCTAGTGCACCTCATCTTTAAGATGAAGTGCCCTGTACTGAATGCAGTATTCAAGGTGAGGACGCACACCACTCTATGCTATGGCATTGTTACATTCCTCTCTATTCCCCTTTCAATATCCAGGCATCTCATTTGCTCTCTGGGCCACCACTGCACACTGCACAGATTCAGGGTTGCATACAGTGACACACCGCACTGCTTCCTGAGTGGCTAATTCAGTGCCAAGCAAGATTGAAGTGCTCCTTGCAGTGGGCATCAGCTTGCACTTATCTGTACCAACTCATCTGCCATCATGTTACCCAGTTTCCTGGCTGTGTTACATTCTTCAAGAGTTCCTCTCAGCCCTCCTCACCTAAATGATTTTGTGTCATCAGCAAATGTTGATGCCTCTTTATTCAACCCCAACATTTAAACCATTAATAAAATATCTAACATAACTAGTCTGAGAACTGTTCCCTAGGGGAACCCATTATTAATCTCCTCCTTGGTTGAGGATTGACAATTATTTAGCCTTGTCCTTTAACTTTTTACCTTCTAACCAGTGTATAATAACCTATAACAGAACTGTACCCACCTTGCCCAGGGTTACCACCTTTCCTTTGTAGCCTATTGTTTGGGACTTTATCAAAAGCCTTTGAAGGTCTAAATAGACCCATCTGTCATCTTGTATCCACTACTTGTTCATTCTTAATTAAAACCTACACACTGATTCCCCACTGCATTGTTCTAGTTTTACATTGGCATAACGTCATTGATTTCAATGGAAACCCACTGGGCATAAAACTGGAGTGATACAGTGGTGGAGAGAGGTGTTAGACTGCAAGCTCTTCAGGATGGGGGCTTTTAACTTCCTTTAAACACTGTGCGTGTTCTCAGTTGTTAAACAAACACAGAGACAGTCCCTGTCCTGAAGAACTAACAAACAATCTGAGTAATAACCAAGCACCATGTACAGCAATTACATTAGATAAACAAACAACAAGGGCTCCTCTTCAAAGAACTCCAGCAGATTAAAGACCTCATTTTGTCTCACAGATGCTGTGCTAGGTTGTTCCTTTCATATTATTCTCAGCTAGGTGCATTATAACTTATCTTTTATTATTATTTCTACTGTCTCCATTCTTAAGACTGTGAGAAAAACTTTGATCTTGGTATCATCCAGTATAAATCTGGCCCAACTCCATCGACTCCGAGTGAATTATTCTGGATCTACATCTGTGTGACTGAGAACAGAATCTGCTCCATGCCCTGACTAGAGCAGCAGCCAGTATGAGCTAACACAGGCCAAGGCCCAGATTCTCTCCTTATTTGTGCCAGGCTGTACACGGCCGAGTTACACTTGACTTACACACAAGTGTGAGGAGAATCAAGCCCCTTGTGTGAACTGGGAAGATCACAATGGACTCATGTTTTAATCGGGAGAGCTGTCAATCCTTCCCCAGCTTTAAGCAGGAGAGTAATATTGACTCAAGGTTTAACCAGCAGGTTGGCAAAGGGAGTGTTATGATCCCTATTTTATAGAGGGGGAACTGGCTTTATTTGACAACATCAGAGGCCATTACTACAGACATAATGACTGGAGGGACCCCTGTAATGAGAAACAGAGGCCAGAGTCTCTGCTCTGCCCAGGCTCCGAGGCAGCTGGATTCTCAAGCAGGTCCATTGCTGGCTCTGGAACAGGGCAGCTCCAAGCTACACCAGATGGTAAAAGTCACCCAGGAGACCATCCACCCTCCGGGGATTGTTGAAGCACAGAAATTGGAGCAGGGCAATGTAGGAACTGACTACAGCAGCTCCACCCCAGCCAAAGACTCACCCATGCTGGAGAAATTCTCATTTGGCAAGTTATGGTCAGTTTCGGGTCCCTTTGCACCACCAGAATGGCACAAAGGGTGGGACTCTGGTCCATAGTATATAGTTTCTGCACTGAAGGGCAAGTCCTCTAGTTCCCCCACATGATCATGGAGAGCCCTGGCTGCAGTGGAACCATGTAATTCTGCTGTGGGCCGTGGATGAGCACTACACGCCCTGGAGCATGACTTGCTGTGCCCCAGCACACAGAGCTGGGTCAGTGAGGGTTGGAAACAGGACCAATGGGAGGGACAGAGATGTGTGTCTCACTGACTGGAATGGTGCCAGGCCCTGACTCAAGGGGTTCTTCTGGCTTGCAGGGTCCCTGCGTTAGAGCCATTACCTAACCCAGCATGTGCAGCACAGAAAAGGAGACATCAGCAAATGGATTCCTCACCCTATGGGAGAAGTAGAAGGCAGCGATTCCCAAGGGCCAGAAGCAGCAGAGCATTGAAAAAATGGCCAGGCCCAGGTGGTCTCGTGGGGGGAGCATCAGGAAATGATCCTCACTCTCGCTGTCACTCGAGGAGTCACTCTGGAAAACAAATGAGTTCAGTGCTGCTGAGCAGCGCAGAGCCATCAGGCCTGGAGATTGCCCAGGCAGAGCGAGCCTGGGAAGAGCAATGCAAGCGCACCCCATTCACCCCTCAGTGGGGCATGTCTGACACTTACGTGACCCTGAAACATGTCATGAGGCCAGCCTGTCAAAACCGGGCGCGGGGGAGGTGGGAGACTGCAAATACTGACACAGGGGCGTCCTCCCCTCCTCCCACCAGTCTGATGCTGGCCAGCACTGGAGGGATCTGCCACAGGGATAAAACAGGGGTGCAGTCGCTATGGCCCGTCTAGACCTGCTGTGTGGGGGCAAGTGTGATGGGAACGGGGCTGAGATGCAGGATCTCATGGCCTGCAGACCACCACACAGCTGCTGGTGGAAAAAACTTTTGGTCACTACCAACCTCTGGCAACTCGGAGCTCTTGACACAAAATGTTCTGTGTCCTATTACTAAGGGCTTTCCCTGAATCAGAATTGCCCCTGTCAGTCTGCCCACCGATGGTATTTCTAGGGCACTTATCATTTTGTAGCTAAGCAGTGCTTCCCACCCCACCCCCTTCACTCTCTGTATTTCAATCTCACCTCCTTTTCTTTCCCATCCTTTTCATATATTCTCTAACTCTTCTGACCCAAACCTTCAGAGAGTGAGTTTCTAAAACACTGCATCCTCTCAAGCTGGTTGGAGGAGAAAGAAATGTAATGAGAAAATTTGGGGACTGAAATGGATTCTGATTTCCTTCCCAGGTTGAGTCTTCAGCAAACTTGGTGGAGATTTGGGATCTCCCTGGAAATTATTCTTATACCTAAACATCTTGAGCTTTGGCATAATGGGCTGTGTGCTGGCTTTGGCGAAGTGCCTCATTCTCATTAGGACTAAGTGGACCAGTCCCCTGCCAGACAGGGTTTGAGAGTAAGGGAAAGGGCTTGAATTTGACCCTACCCTAATCTCATGAGGACCCCTGTTCCTCTTTTCAATGTGTGTGCCACTCAGAGTGTCTAGTACTTCTCTCCCTGTCTTGGGCACCCTTTGGCCCACGTTCAGTTTGGAGGGGGCACGTTTTAGTGGTGTAAACCCATGGAAATGGGCAAGTGCCTGTTTCAGTCTGGAAGAGGCATATCGCCATGGTCCAAATAAATGGATTTGGAGATAAACAGCAGATGCCAACAATAGCAGGGCTAATGGAATCCACTCCAACAGAGTCCTGCCTTTGTTAATCTTGTGTATTGTTCTTGACTTCTATATTGCATGGAAAATCCTGAGTGAACACAGGACACATCAATATAAATAGCCATAGCACAGATTCGCCAGTCATTATTTTATTGCAAGACTCATGATATATTTATATTGTAAGCGTCTCATGATGGTTGGTCTCAAACTTGTGGAACTATCCACAAGTTGGTATCAAACTATGACTGAGTTGCTTCAGATTTCATGACGAATTACTACATGGGCTCTGGTAGGGTCCAATCAACCCAGGTTTACTCCAAGTGTCTGTCCCCTTGAGGGCTGGGTCGTGGGAGACAAAGCCCACTGGCTACCCTGGTCGTACTCTGACCTTAAGACCTTAAGCAAGACCAGACAGGACAACAAACTCCATCTCCCAGGTCCTAAAGGAAAAGATGCATTAGTCACAGGCAACAAAGAGAATATTAGAGTCCTACACCAGGCCCTTCTGCCCCCAGGGAGGCTTTGGCCTCTGACAATCTCTGAATATTCCCTGGCCTCAGCCAGGCCTTCCTTCAGGCACTCTCTGGACAGGCCCTAGCCCCAGCCAGCCCTTCTTTCAAGGAGCTAGCACAAGAGGTCTATCCCCTCTCCTGGTCAGCCACTACTGTGCTGGACTTTGGTCCTTTTAATTCCTCCCTCTATTCTTGACACCTACAATGGGTATAGCAGGTGGGGCTGATTAAGTCTATAGGCTCTTATTAACCCCTTATTGGTCTGTGTGGGGTCTATATACCCTCTCACCTGCCCTTATTCAGAATGGCCACCATTTCCCATTATTTTCTGTAACGCCACAGCCATAGTCAAGATGGCCACCACTGCCTTGCATTGGAAAGTGAGGCTGCTCCCAATGAAGATGGCCACCATCTCCCATTGTTCTCAACTGAGCTGAAGTCAGGCTGATACCAGGAAAGTTGGCCACCTCCTGGGCTCTGGGGTTAGGAAACTGGACCAGAAATTGTGAAGAGATGGGGAAATGTTGGGTACAGAGAGAGAGAGAGAGAGAGACAGACAGACAGACAGGAAGGTGGAGGGTGCATGGAGGCATAGGAGATTACTGGGAAAGATGAGGAGCAGGAAGGGAAACTGAGGGAGTTCTAGGGAATGTAGGGTACAGGAGGGAGACTGAGGGAAATTTGGGGGCAGAGTCAGAGGCTAAGGAGTGCCAGGAAGGTGATTGAGGAGGTGCAGGGTAATACAGAGAGCATGAGAGAGATTGAGGATGCAGAGGAATGTGGTTAGCAGAGTGGGAAAATTGAATGATAAGAGACTATCAAAGGACTGGGAGGGAAAATATGGAGCATGGCATGGATCAACAACAGGAAACTAGGGGGAGCATGTAGGGAGAATGTGTGGGAGGCAGGAGATTGGGTGTGGCACAGAGGGTGTCAAGAGGGGACTGGGAGGATGGTGACAAGACAAGATTGCTATAGGGGAGGGGGATGGAGAGGGATAGAATGGCAGCTTCCTCACCCCATGGGTAAATGAGGTCCCCTCTGAGCAGCCAATCAAGATATCCAAGTGCCTTGTGACAGAGCAGCATGTACGCCACATGTGGCTGCCACACAAAGTGTGACATCATTATTCATCTATACTTAGCCATTGTGTTAAAAAAGGGCTATTTCAAAGGACACACCCCCTGAGATGGCTCATTCTCTTGGCTGAATTTCTGGCCAATTCACGGTGCCCCAGATTACTTTCCAACCCTAAAAATATTTCACTGCAGTGCTACTGCTGTGCAGCTATCTAGCTGACAGAAATAGTAACATTGGCTCTGTAATAAGCCAGAGCTGGAGAGGAGGGGGGTGGGTGGGAAAGGACAAATGAGCTTTTTACAGTGTAAGAGAAACTCACAATACTAGGATAACATTTCAACCAATGGTGACGGGTTTCAGAGTGGTAGCCGTGTTAGTCTGTATCAGCAAAAAGAATGAGGAATCCTTGTGGCACCTTAGAGACTAACAAGCATAAGCTTTTGTGGGCTAAAACCCACTTCATCAGATGCATACAGTGGAAAATACAGTAGGAAGATATATAAACACAGAGAACATGAAAAAATGGGGGTTGCCATACCAACTCTAACGAGACTAATCAATTAAGGTGGGCTATTACCAGCAGGAGAAAAAAAACTTTTGTAGTGATAATCAGGGTGCCCCATTTCAAGCAGTTGACAAGAAGGTGTGAGTAACAGTAGGGAAAAAATTAGCATGGGGAAATAGCCCACGAAAGCTTATGCCCAAATAAATTTGTTAGTCTCTAAGGTACCACAAGTACTCCTTGTTCTTTTATTTCAACCAATGGGACTGCAATATGCAAATGAAATGAGATCACAGTATTATAATTGATTAAGTCCTCCTGGATGCTTTAATCTCAGCTCCACTTTGATTTCAGAGTCAGATTAAATTTGCAAAGTATCCCACCAAAAATAACCCCGTTGGACACCAACAGAAGCAGCTGGGACACTCTGTGGTGATGCCGAGTTCAGACAGAAGGGGATAGTAGAAATTTAACACCTTCAGTACCATTTGTGCACCATCTACCCCCAAGGACAGTCGGACATATTCACCGGGGAGCAGCTTGTTGCTGTTTCTCCTAAAAGTAGCTCACCTCATACTCCTGGAATTCCTCCTCCTCCACCTCATAGGACACTGTTTGGATTCTGATGTCACCCTCCATCTGGCAGGGCCCTTGTTTTTCTCGCCCATCTGCAGCCTCAGAGGGGGCCTCTTTGTTTTCCATGAAGGTCGTCTCGCAGCTCTCCCCTTTGTTGTCCTTGGCCTTGAGACTGGTCTCATCCGTCACCAGGATGAAGTTGGGACCATACAATGCTTCAACAGCCAGCTGCAGAGAACTGGCATCCAGCAGCTGGTGAGTCCTGGCACTGCCAGTGTTTTGAAAGATGTAAAGTTTCCCCTGGCAGCAATGACTAGGGTGATGCTGATGGTAGGAGTAGCTACCGTGAAGATGCTTGCTGCTCTTGGCCAGCAGTGGGTTCTGAAGCTCACTCAAACTTTCCATTCTGCTAAAAATGGCCTGGAGAAGCTAACAGGAGGGTAACCCTGAGGAATAAAAGAGAAAGGAAGGAGTGAGTGTATAATATCAACAAGGCGAGGCTGCAGATTCAGGGGTACCATTCATAGTAACATCTACTGAGCACAGCAGAGATGACTGCAGGACACTGGCCAGTGCAAAATGGCACTATCTGGCTGCACTAGGGAGAACAAGAATCTAAGAATCCTATTCCATGGCTTGAACACTGTCTCAGATAATTGAGGAGCTGTTCATCTGTCACAAGCTGACAGTAAGCTAAGCATGTGATGAGATGATCTGATAACATCAGGCTGGAATGAGTGGAGGATTTGCTGTATCTACAATGCACATTGAGAAGGGACCATACAGTCAGATAGGAATGCCTGTTGCATCCTTTCTGGTGGCTCATAATTTATATTGCTGTAGAGGATACCAGATGGCATTGCAGTAGATGCACAGCTGGCATCCACTTGAGGGGCCTTTCTGACGTCCGAAACTAGCAGGACACACAGTAAATTACAGCCCTTCATGCATTACAGTTTCAGCAGCTAATGGTTTCTAAACATACTCAAGCTTTCATAGCGCTTTTTAATGCCTGGGCTCGGGCTGGTGAGGGAGTGAGTATAAATTCAGGGAAGATGGAAGGCTGCTGTGAGGATATTTTAATTACTGTTACCGTCTTAGTGTTCTCTTGGGGGTCTGCCTTTCCATACGCTATACAAAGCACAGTAAGGGAGAGAGGGATTGAGAGGCTGAGGCCTGGTCTACAACCACAGCTGCATTTACCTATCTATTGAAGGTCTTTATATGGTCCCATCACTGTAGTACCTGAGCACTCACAATCTTTCATGTATTTGTCCTCCCAATACCGCTGTGCGGTGGGGAAGTGCTATTGTCCCCATTATACTCAGGGCCGGCTCCAGCCACCAGCTTGGCAAGCTGGTGCTTGGGGCGGCCACTCCAGACAGGGGTGGCAGGTCCAGCTATTCGGCGGCCAGGAGCGAAGGACCTTCCGCCGAATTGCCGCCGCAGATCGCGATCGCGGCTTTT